CTGTTTCTCTCGAGCTCTGCCTGTATATTTTGTCTTCTTCTGTTGTTCTCTCATCATTTCCACTGAGCTCTTAGTCTTTGCTTTGTGTTTCCATTTCACAGAAGTGGTTACTTCATTAAGGTTTTAAATTCATGGTACAGTGTTCATCTGCGTAGTAAAAGCACTTCTGGTGTGTCTCGTTCCACCTTTTGTCTTTCAGCATCTTTAAATAGATCCTGTTTTGGATCTTTTCTGAGTATTCATCTTTGATTGGATTGACTTTATTCTGGATCCCTTATTTGTAATTGGTTCTTACTGTAGCCTGGACTATTTACCGGGTTTGGAGAAATTTTCCAAATGACTCAGTGTCCTGCGTTTGAAATTTGTTGGCCATTACTTCATTCCTGTCAGTGCAGATAGACCACTTAAAATGGCAAAGCCTCTCTTCCCTAGGTCCCCTGCACGCAATTCCCCATAGATGGGACTTTTCTGTGTCTGTGTGATTCCTGGTTTAACCCTAGATCCTTTGCTTTTTAACCCTTGGAACTGTTCCAAATGCTGCTCCACTGCCAGCTCCATTCCCGCTGTTACACGAAGATTCTGGTTTTCCCTGTCAGTTTGTGCTCCTCATTTTGGAGCATTATACTTCATTACTGGATTTTATCCCCAGAGTTATAGCCCCAGAAATTCTCTCTTCAGGCTGGGGAGGGTGGCTCATGTCTGTAATCCTAGCACTTTGGGAGGCTGAGGCAGGAGGATTGTCTGAGCCCAGGAGTTGAAGACCAGCCTGAGCAACATAGTGAGAACATAGTGAGACTCTATCTCTTTTTTTTAAAAAAAAAAGAAAAAAAGAAAGCAATCCTTCCTTCATTGGCTCCTGAGTCTCTGGTTATCCCTACCTTTGGCAATTCTTCTGTCCTGTGGTTTGAGATTTCAGATGTCTCCTAATTTTGCGAAAGGAGGATACTATATTTCTCTTTTTTGTTTTCTTTACTATTCTGAGAGGAGAAGGAGAAAATACCACACTGGCAGTCTCTGCCTACGATACCCTTGTCCTCCAAATAAGCCAGTCATACAAGGACCTATCTGAACACTGGAGGATAATCACAAGTCCATTTATCATTTAACCCCCATATTTTCTGTAGATGTCAGATCACTGAATTGGGGCTCTATCCTTGGAGTTGCCTTTCAGACTGTTAACAAAAAAAAAAAAAAAAAAAAAAAAAAAAAAGCTAATCTGTGGGAGAAGTACACAATTGGGTATCCCTAACCCAAAATCCATAATAAGCCAAAATCTGAAACTGAGCACTGACATGACACTCAAAGGAAATGTTGATTGAAGCATTTCTGCTTTTTGGATTGGGGATGCTGAGTCAGTAAGTATATAATTCCAAAATCTGAAACACTTCTCATCCAGAACGGTTTAGATAAGGTATACTCAACCTGTAATATGGTGATTAAGACAACAGACTAGGGAGCACTTTCTGAATGACCTTACTCCCTTTGACTGTTTTTGGTATGTGTGAGTCACTATGAACCTGTCAATGTTAAATATTCAAACTGGATTTTTTTTGTTGTCGTTTGTTTTTGTTTTGGAGACAGCGTCTCACTCTGTCACTCAGGCTGAATCACAACTTGATGCCCATCTATAGTCCCAGGTACTCAGGAGTCTGAGGTGGGAGGATACCTTGAACCCCAGAGGTCAAGGTTGCAATGGCACGATCACAGCTCACTGCAACCTTAACCTCTGAGCTTCAAGCTATCCTCCCGCCTCAGCCTCCTGAGTACCTGGGACTGTAGGTGTATGCCAAGATGCCTGGTTAATTGTTTTATTTTTCGTAGAGACTGGGCCTTGCCATGTTGCTCAGGCTGGTCACAAATTTCTGGGCTCAAGCAGTCCTCCTGCCTCAGCTCCCAAAGTGCTAGGGCTGTGTGAGCCTCTGCTCCCAGCCTCAAAATGTTTTAGTCAAAGTCTCTTTCTTGGCCGGGCACGGTGGCTCACGCCTGTAATCCCAGCACTTTGGGAGGCCGAGACAGGCGGATCACGAGGTCAGGAGATCGAGACCATCCTGGCTAGCACGGTGAAACCCCATCTCTACTAAAAAATACAAAAAACTAGCCGGGCGAGGTGGCGGGCGCCTGTAGTCCCAGCTACTCGGGAGGCTGAGGCAGGAGAATGGCATAAACCTGGGAGGCGGAGCTTGCAGTGAGCTGAGATCCGGCCACTGCACTCCAGCCTGGGCGACAGAGCGAGACTCCGTCTCAAAAAAAAAAAAAAAGTCTCTTTCTTTTGCTCCCGGTGCCCCAAATTGGGCTAGTGAGAACCCCTTTGAACTGGCTCAGATGTCTTTTTTTTGAGACCCTCTCATCTGTTGCCCAGGCTGGAGTGCAGTGGCACAGTCTCAGTTCACTGTAACCTCTGCCTCCTGGGCTCTCAAGTGATCCTCCTGCTACGGCCTCCCAAGTAGCTGAGACTACAGGTGTGTGCTACCACGCCCAGCTAATTTTTATATTTTTAGTAGAGGTGGAATTTCGCCATGTTGCCCAGGTCAGTCTTGAACTCTTGGACTTAAGCAATCTGCCTGCCTTGGCCTCCCAAAGTGCTGGGATTACAAGCATGAGCCACTGTACTGGGCCTGGCCCAAGTTTCCTTTTGATGACTCCCGTTAACCTTTGAGTACTTTATTCTTTTTGATACATGATGTATCAGGCTTTCTCCTGTTTTTTTTTTTTTTTTCAAGTTTTCAAATCAGCCATTTCTCCTTGGTTCTTTTTAGTGGAGAGCAGTATTTGTAACCCAAGTTCTGGGTCTTAAAAGTGTTCATTGTTTCTGGTGTGTCATTGCTTCTGGGCTCTTTCTGGCGACAGAGGTACTCAGTATAGTAAAGATAGTCATGTTTTCCTGCTGATATTTTCCTCTTTATTGGTTTATTTTATTTTATTTATTTTTTTGAGACAAACTCTTGCTCTGTCACCCAGGCTAGAGTGCAGTGGTACAATCTCAGCTCACTGCAACCTCTGCATCCCAGGTTCAAGCGGTTCTTCTCCCTCAGCCTCTGGAGTAGTTGGGACTATAGACATGTACCACTGTACCTGGTTAATTTTGTATTTTTAGTAGAGATGGGGTTTTAGCATGTTGGCCACGCTGGTCTCAAACTCGATCCACCTACCTCAGCCTCCCATAATGCTGGGATTACAGACCTGAGCGACCACATGTTTTAAAATCTTATGTTAATTAAACATTTTTGGCTGGGCACGTTGGTTCACACCTGTAATCCCAGCACCGCTGAGGCGGGTGGATCACGAGGTCAAGAGATCAAGACCATCTTGGCCAACATGGTGAAACCCTGTCTCTACTAAAAATAGAAAAATTAGCCAGGCGTGGTGGCACGCTCCTGTAGTCCCTGCTACTCGGGAGGCTGAGGCAGGAGAATTGCCTCTACCTGGGAGGCAGAGGTTGCAGTCAGTTGAGATAATGCCACTGCACTCCAACCTAGCAACAGAGTGAGACTCCGTCTCAAGAAAACAATTTTTTTTTTTCACTCCTTCACTGGTAATGGACACATATTGGTATTTACAGATGAAATTTAACATTAGAGTTGTTTTTTGTTTTTTGGTTTTTGGGTTTTTTTTTTGCTTTCTAAGGTTTTATACTCATTCATTACTTAATGATGGGGTTACAGTCTGAGAAATGAATGGGCAGTTTTGACATGCAAACATCGTAAGAGTATGCTTACACAAACTAGATGGTGTCGCCTGCTACACACCAAGGCTATGGTGCTCTAACTATTGCTCTTAGTTTGTAAACCTATACAGCCTGTGACTGTATTGAATACTGTAGGCAGTTGTAACACTATGGTATTTGTATATCTAAATACAGAAAAGGTACAGTAAAAATACAGTGGAAAAGATTTTAAAAAGGGGCACCTGTATCACTTGTCCATCTGACATAAATTAGCCTCTTACTTTTTGTAGATTACTACTAACAATAAGAATACTGAGTAACTAACTTCACGGTTCTTTTTGTCCTCCAGCTAGATCCCACTAACCAGAGTGGCAATGGGTTTGAATGTCACTTGAAGTGATTCTTTTTATTTTATTTTATTGGAGACAGAGTCTCACTCTGTCACCCAGGCTGGAGTGCAGTGGTGTGATCACAGCTCACTTTAGCCTTGGCTTAAGCGGTCCTCGGTGTGAGCTGCCGCCTGTGGCCTCCCCTCTGATTTGAATATCCAGCTTTGTTATGTTGTCAAATTTTCTTGCCAGTGTTGCCATTTCAGTAGCTTGCTACCAATTAATTTGGCATCCTCTGTTGATTTCCCTTCCAATCCTGAGGCAGTCATAACTGTAACATTTTATCATTTTAGGAATGTTCCTACATTTGCTAAGGAATGATGTAAAATTGGGGGGAAGGTCCTTGCTTCAAAAGTCATAGTTTAAGCTGCTGTTAATCAAAGTTGTCTCTGATATTTCTTCAGGAAATTTGTCAAAAACTTAGAGCGTGTAAATTTATAGTATATTTTCAGATCTATCCACAGTTAAGTGCAATTATTTTGTTTTTAATTTTTTATGTAGACAAGGTCTTACTCTGTGCCCCAGGCTGGAGTGCAGTGGCGCAGTCATCGCTCACTGTAACCTTGACTTCCTGGGCACAAGCTGTCCTCCAGCCTTGGCGCCCCCCGAAAGCACTGTGTCTACAGGTGTGAGCCACCACACCTGACCTGAAGTGCAGTTATTATGATGATATTAACTCAAGTCCGTTTTGGAGTGTTGATTAACTATATTAAGGATACTGAGAACAACTAAGGGTTAATTTCTTCAGTTTGTGGTACAAATTGATGGCTTTTAAAACGAGACAAACTCAGTGCGCCTTTTGCCTCATTGGTGTGATTAAAGACCAAGTATTGGTTTAACTCTGAACTTCATAGACCTATGAAAAAGTATGACTTGCAGGACTGTAACCTAGCAAAAGATCATAAATGACCTTTCCTGTCTGCATTGTGTCTTTATTATCTTTTCAGTAGGCCAACTTTGTCTATCCAGCACCCACCATCTGCAGCAATCAGTATTCAGCGTCCTGCCCAGTCACGAGATGTCACAACAAGAATCACACTACCATCTCACCCTGCATTAGGGACGCCAAAACAGCAGCTTCATACAATGGCTCAGGTAAAACCAAAGGTGGAGAACCACCTGTGTACTTGGTTGGGTAAAACCAAAAGTGGGCAAAGTGTGCTGAGGGCCTGGCAGTACTGAAGGCATTGATTGTGTTTACCTGGGATACAGTGGATAATGTTCTTATAACTGTGTTGTGGGGTTTCCCTCATAGAAAACGATCTTCAGTACTGGCACCCCAGTGGCTGCAGCCACAGTAGCACCTATTTTGGCAACCAACACCATTCCTTCAGCGACTACAGCCGGTAAGTCCATAACCCACTTCTTCCTTCTACCGGGGAAAGAGAAAGCAAGAGTGGTGGGTTAATTTTTCATTTCTCACCTTCAGTCAGAGAAAAACAATGGGCTAGAAAAATTATCTTAACTTTTTCCAAGAGTTTTCCCAGGTTTTTGAGAATCTGTAATGTGTGCAGAGAAGTTCTTGTTAAAGAATTTCCTTTTTTCCCCTATTTCAGGATCTGTGTCCCACACGCAGGCTCCCACCAGTACCATTGTTACCATGACGGTGCCCTCCCATTCCTCCCATGCTACTGCTGTGACCACCTCGAACATCCCCGTCGGTAAGTGGCATGCTGCCTTCGACAGAAGCTCACACGGAGTGCTGTAGCCCCTCTGACTAGGCCTTCATGGTGATGGCTAGTATTGATTTTTACAATTGTTGATTTCCTTTTTTTTTTTTCCTTGAGTCTCACTCTGTTGTCCAAGCTGGAGTGCAGTGGCGCGATCTCAGCTCACTGCAACCGCCACCTCCCGGATTCAAGCAATTCTCCTGCCTCAGCCTCCCAAGTAGCTGGGACTACAGGCATGTGCCACCATATCTGGCTAATTTTTTTGTATTTTTAGTAGAGACAGGGTTTCGCTATGTTGGCCAGATTGGTCTTGACCTCGTGATCCACCTGCCTCGGCCTCCCAGAGTACTGGGATTACAGGCATGAGCCACTGTGCCCGGCCCAGTTGTTGATTTTCAAAGCAACACTGAATATGACTTGTAACATTATGTATCATGCAGACTTGGCATTGATGGTAGGGGAAAAAGAGTATAATAGTTCTTGAGTACTCAAACTTTAGTTTTGACTTGCTTTCTTATCAAACTGTACCTTTTATAAAAATAAGCAATACTGACATAGACAAAAACAACAGGAAAAGCAAAGATCTGGAATGAGGAAAACTTGTAGACTTTGACAGATTGTTCAGGGAAAGTTCTCAGTGACACAACAGTGGGAAGAACACCAAAGCTCAGGTGTGTTCCCCAGGTTTTCATCTGAGTGCTGCCCTGTCACATCACGCCCATCCTAGAATTTCTTCTAGGCTTTCTTTATTCTTTTTCTAAGTATATGTATACTTTGAATTGTTAAAAAAATCCCTGGAAAGTTTCTAGCAGTCCAACTTCAGTCATCAAGATCAGGGGTTTGCACACTTTCTATAAACATTTTAGGCTTTGCAGGCCACATAGGTGTGTGTCGCCAGTGCTCAACTCTGTGTCGTGAAAGTAGCCGTGGACAGTATGTAAACCGACCGTGCGCCGAGGAGACTCTGCTTATGGATGTAGAAATTTGATTTCTTTCTTTTTTTTGTGTTTTTTTTTTGAGACGGAGTCTCGCTCTGTCGCCCAGGCTGGAGTGCGGTGGCTGGATCTCGGCTCACTGCAAGCTCCGCCTCCCGGGTTGACGCCATTCTCCTGCCTCAGCCTCCCGAATAGCTGGGACTACAGGCGCCTGCCACCGCACCCGGCTAATTTTTTGTATTTTTAGTAGAGACCGGGTTTCACCGTGTTAGCCAGGATGGTCTTGATCTCCTGACCTTGTGATCCGCCTGCCTCGGCCTCCCAAAGTGCTGGGATTACAGGCTTAAACCACCGCGCCCAGCCTTTTTTTTTTTTTTTTTTTTTTTTTTTTTTTTTAAGAGATAAGGTCTTACTGTCATCCAGGCTTGAGTACAGTGGCATAGTCATAGCTCACTGTAGCTGGGGCTCAAGCTAACCCCCAACGGCAGCTCCCCATTAGCTGGGACTACAGGTACCTGCCACCATACTCGGCTAATTATTTTGTTTGTTTTTTTGAGATGGAGTCTCATTCTGTCGCCCAGGTTGGAGTGTAGTGGCATGATCTCCACTTACGGCAACCGCCGCCTCCCGGGTTCAAGCAATTCTCCTGTCTCAGCCTCCTGAGTAGCTGGGATTACAGGCGTGTGCCACCACGCCTGGCTAATTTTTGTATTTTCAGTAGAGACGGGGCTTCACCATATTGGTCAGGCTGGTCTTGAACTCCTGACCTCATGATCTGCCTGTCTCGGCCTCCCAAAATTCTGGGATGACAGGTGTGAGCCACCATGCCTGGGCTCTGGCTAATTTTTAAAAATTTTTTGTAGACTGGGAGCAGTGGCTCACACCTGTCATCCCAGCACTTTGGGAGGCTGAGGCAGGGGGATCACTTGAGGTCAGGAGTTCGAGACCAGTCTGACCAACATGGTGAAACCCCATCTCTACTAAAAAAAAATACAAAAAAAAAATTGGCTGGGTGTGGTGGCACATGCCTCTGTATTCCCAGCTACTCGGGAGGCTGAGGCAGGAGAATTGCTTGAACCTGGGAGGTGGAGGTCGCAGTGAGCTGAAATTGTGCCACTGCGCTCCAATCTGGGTGACAGAGCACAAGACTCCGTCTCAAAAAAAAAATTTTTTTTTTTTTTTTTTTTTTTTTTTTTGTGGAAACAAGGTCTTGTTGTGTTACCCAAGCTGCTCTCAAACTGCTGGCGTCAGGGAGTCCTTCCACCCTCAGCCTCTCAGAGTGCTGAGATTATAGGTGTGAGACACTGATCCTGGCCTGAGTTTCATATCGTTTTCATGAGTCACAAAATATTCTTTTGATCCTTTTGCCCTCATCCATTTAAAAGTGTTAACTCATTCTTTTTTTTTTTTTTTTTTTTTTTTTTGAGACGGAGTCTCGCTCTGTCGCCCAGGCTGGAGTGCAGTGGCCGGGTCTCAGCTCACTGCAAGCTCCGCCTCCCGGGTTCATGCCATTCTCCTGCCTCAGCCTCCGGAGTAGCTGGGACTACAGGCGCCCGCCACCTCGCCCGGCTAGTTTTTTGTATTTTTAGTAGAGACGGGGTTTCACCATGTTAGCCAGGATGGTCTCGATCTCCTGACCTTGTGATCCGCCCGTCTCGGCCTCCCAAAGTGCTGGGATTACAGGCTTGAGCCACCGCGCCCGGCCGTGTTAACTCATTCTTAGCTCATGAGACAGCAGGCTGGATTGGCCTGTAAACCATAGGTTGCCAACACCTATGCAGGGGACTGATATCTTACTGCCATAGCATCCGAAGCAGGGACTGTGGCCTCCGAGGCAGAACACAGCTTTCATTAGCCTGCCAGCTACAGGCTTTATTAATAGTTTCTAGTTTTGTCTCTGCCTTGCTTTTATAGTGAAGAGCATATCATCTTATTGTTCTCTTAAGATACATACAGGACAGCTGCCATAGCATCCACTTAGAGCTAAGACTGCTTTTTGTGAAGAGGACACCCTGACATACTGGTGACTGGACATAAAAGTGTGGGTTCCGGCCTCTCTGAGCAAACTTTGAAGCCCATTTTCTGGAATAATGGTAGTACCCAGGAAGTCCCTACTCCTGTTGTAGGGTGACCGGCCTATACCAGCCCTTAAATGGGTGCTCAGCCCCACAGAAGTCCCTTAGCACAGAGGGTGCTGCTACTGGGTCTTTTCTGCATCGCTCCTCACTATGACTTGCCATTGGAGAGACCAAATTTTTTCCATAACCTTCTGAATTTAGTTCCTATTTGTCAAAAGAAGTTTGTTTTGTTTGTATCTGTTTAGCATTAACACACTTGTTGAAAAAGGTAGTAAATTGTCCATATTGCCATTTCAGCCCATTTCCTTCCTCTGCCTGCGTCGTCAGCTCTGCTGAGTGCTATCATGGCAAGCCAAGCCCTGAGACACTTAATATTTATCAAGTCAGGAGCCTCACTCGGGTATTTGAATCTATGATCGAAAGACCGATAAGGAGGGGCCGTTATGGGCCAGAGGGACTGTCTAGTTTCCTCCTGACCCTCCACCTTGAAGAATTTTTTAGAGATTGGTTCTTGTGAATGTCCCTCTGTCTTCCTAAGAGATCCCACTGTGGAAGCAGACTCACTAAAAAGTACCAGGAGACATAGATACACGTGTTCCTACGTTCCATGGGGTTTACGGTCATTTTGTTTTTCTCTTTTATGCTAACCCCAATATTTCTGTATTATAATAGGATCTCTCCAGGAAAGGTAGCTCAGTTGAGAAGGGAAACCTGATAAAACCCTAGACCATTGATTTTGCAGTCGAGAAGTAGAACATACATATTAAAATCACCTAAGTGACTTTTTCCAAGTGAGCTTGCCCTCTCCAGGTGATATTAAATACAAATTCAGCTATTCTTACTAGGAATATGTTGGCTCAGAAAAAAAGCCTGCTAAATCACAAGTATAAGGTTTTTGCCTCTATTCCAATAGAATACCATTCTTATTTTCTCCATGTTCTGGTCAACATATGATCATGTTCTCAGAATTATAGAAAGTGAAATCTGGTGATCACATTATTCAGAAAATAGGGATAAGTTTTGGAGATAACGTTATGACAGACTTACTGTTTTCTGTACTATATAGTTCCTTGGTTTTTATGTAATTATTGAGAATGTGTGGCTTTTTTTTTTTTTTTTTTTTTTTTGAGATGGAGTATCACTCTGTCGTGCAGGCTGGAGTGCAGTGGCATGATCTCAGCTCACTGCAACCTCCCAGGTTCAAGTGATTCTCCTGCCTCAGCCTTCTGAGTATCTGGGATCACAGGCACGCACCACCACGCCTGGCTGATTTTTGTCTTTTTAGTAGAAACAGGGTTTCACCATGTTGGCCAGGCTGGTCTCAAACTCCTGACCTCAGTTGATCTGCCCGCCTTGGCCTCCCAAAGTGTTGGGATTACAGGCTTGAGCCACTGCACCCAGCCTGTATGGCTTTTTAAATTAGAAAACAAGTAAAGATGTAAATGAATGGCTGAGTGGTGAGGTGTGTCTGGTTACCAACCACTGGTTAGCTGCTCTGTCACATGGCAGCTTCATTCCTACTGGAAGCATCATTTTCTCCTACCTTTCATGGGGCTCAGTGATAAAACAAGGCTTAGTTGCCCCCTCCTCACCATCCCCACTGCTTACCTCCCTGATGGGTAACCCTGTCATGCCAGCTTCTCTTTGCGTTGGCCAATAGATGCAATCTTGAGTGGTCAGATGGGCATTCCTGCTATCACCCTGCAAAAACTTCTCCATCTGCCTCCCGTGGGAGCTGGCTGGCATCGCAGTGGGTCTTTGTAGCTTGGCGTTGTTGTTAAATGCTCTGCATTTAGGGTAATGCGTTGGCATCCTCCTAGTCTAGTCTCTTTGTTAATGTGCCTGTCTCTGGTGTAACTTGGGTTTTTACACAGATAGAAGCTGGCCCTCTGTGTCTCTGAGATGGATCACGGCTTTTCTTTCTGAACGCCCAGGCACACTGTTAATAGATAGGGCTATAAAGAATAGTGCCAAGTATGTTCTAGTTCAGCTGCACCTTCCAAACAAAATTGGATGCAAGTTTTAAAGGAGTACACATTTGGAGCCTCAGATTGAATTTGAAAACTCTGTGGTCATTGATTTTGATTTTGCTCTAAAGTTTTATATAAAATTGTAGGACATTCAAAGGACCTTAGAAATTATTAAGTGATCCAAAGAAGGGATCCTTATAGGTAAAGAAATAGACTTGGGAATTAAAGTGGTCTTCTCATTGCTAATTAGCTACATTTTATAATTATCTATGGACCCAGAGTGGAATCTAAGGGTGGTTGTTTTTTTTTCCATTTTTTAATCCAAAATTGTGTGTGTTCATTTATTTATTTATTTTGAGACGGGGTCTCAGTCTGTGAGTGAGGCTGGAGTATAGTGGTGCAGTCATGGCTCACTGTAGCCTTGAACTCCTGAACTCAAGTTATCCTCCAGCCTCAGCCTCCCACAGTGCTGAGATGACAGATGTGAGCCACCGTGCCTGGCCTGTTTACTTTTTAAGCAGTTTAATCCTTTCAAAAACAGGTCCAGGTTGAGAGAAAAGAGCCCGGTCACTTCTGTCTTTGTTTAAGTATTAATGTTGAACCCTGCTTTAATAACAGTAGGAATATATCAGTGAATGTAGAATTGAAATAATTCTGTTGAACTTTGTACTTATTTTTCATTTTTTATTTTGATTAAAAGTCCAGGCTTTAATTGTTTGCTTTCCTAAGATTGCTGCTAGCCAAGAATGTTTTGGCATGCCAAAAAAAAGTGTAGCGTGGTCATGGAATTGGCGTTTACTGTTTGCAGCCAAGGTGGTGCCCCAGCAGATCACACACACTTCTCCTCGGATTCAGCCAGACTACCCTGCTGAGAGGAGCAGCCTGATTCCCATCTCCGGACATCGGGCCTCTCCCAATCCTGTGGCCATGGAAACCCGAAGCGACAACAGGTAGGAGGCCACGTGTCAGCTATTCTGCCTCACTGTGTCACTAATTGTTCTGCTTTATCAGCATAAAACAAAATGTCCCACAAATACGGCCTGTATGTATTACTCATGCTTTCAGATTTTCCCCCGAAAGTAACTCTTCGTATAATTCCTTTTTTATGTGCGATGTTTTTCAAGCCAGTCTCCTTTTGACGGATGTTTTCCTAGTATCCATTTTTTTTGGTTTTGTGTGTTTAATATTTTTTGGCTATTTTGAGAGTAAGGGTTGTAGCATTATGACCGTTTATCCATAAGTACCTGCATTTGTAGCACAGAAGAGTAAAGACGTTCTGTGACGTCACCGCGGTACAGCTATCTGAACGGACGCCGAGCTCTCCCTTCTCTTTGACTCATGGGTGTTTTTGAAGAGTGGGGAGAAGCCGGTTGTTTTGGGGAATTTGATACTGTCACATTGTTTCCTCACGGTTACATTCAGGTTATACCAGGTAAGCAGTGTGTCCTTCCCATTGCATCAGAGAGCTCCTGCGGTCTGTTTTCCCCGTATTGGTCATGTTAACATTCATTACTTAGTGAAGGTGATGTTTGCCAGTTTTTTTCTACTGGAAAGGCATGTTTTTCTCCTTCGTAAACAAGTAATCTATCTGGAAATATCTGAGTGTAATTATCCTGTTCTCCAGTAAACATTCATTCAATAGTTGTAGATCTATTATTAATTCCTGGCTGAATCCATTACTAATATGATAGTTGCAAAATAGTGAGTTTTTCTAACGCGTTGTCTATATACATTAGCTGGCATTCTGATGTAAAGAGACTTTCTCTTACCCACCCCCATTTATTTTTTATGTTGAGCATTTTACTGTTTTTTAATCGGCTCAGGCTTGTAGATTTGCTTTTATTCATTAGAATCTATTGCTGTCATCTATTTTGGTGCTCAGATGATCTCATTTGGTCCTTGGGGGTTCTTTCTACTTCTCTGGATTTCGCCACGTCCCCTCTGTTCTAGCCTTTCCTTCTTTTCCATGATGAGATATTCTAGATTCCTATTGAACTTTATCTGTCTGGCTCTGAAATCTGCTGTTTCTCCAAGGAGCCCTTTGTCATTTACAAACCAAGATCTGGGCATTAGCCCTGCTTGTTGCTGTGGGTTGTCATTCTTCCAGGCCCTTTGAGCAGGCAGAGGTAGGAGGTATATAGTATTTTAAGAACATTTGAGTTCATACTGATACCTCTACTTCAACCCCATCGCTTCCCCCATTCCATGTCTGTATCTGCCTCTCCCATAAAGTACCCTATACAGTGTACACAAAGTCATTTCAAAAGCAGATGATTGTTAAGTGTTCTAATTTGATCATTTGTGTCTAGGAGTGCTTACAGATTTTGATGCATTGATATGTCCATCCACCTTGTTGAATACTCCTTTTAGCTCTCAATGTTTATAGATTATCTAAATAATTCTGTAAATTAGCTCTAAATGTTTATAGATTTATAAATTTCCTATGTATATGTTTATTTTGCCCACAAATAAGGACAGTTTGAGGGGAAAGCAAGAGGGTCTTACCATTTTCATTTGTTTTTTTGTTTTGTTTTTGAGACAGGGTCTTGCTCTGTTGCCCAGGCTGGAGTGCAGTGGCACCATCATAGCCCACTGCAGCCTTGACTTCTGGGCTCAAATGATCCTCCCACCTCAGCCTCCCAAGTAGCTGGGACTACAGGCACATGCCATCATGCCTGGCTAAGTTTTTTTATTTTTTGTAGAGATGAGGCCTCACACTGTTGCCCAGGCTGTAGTGCAGCGGTGCAGTCTCGGCTCACTGCAATCCCTACCTCCTAGGTTCAAGTGATTCTCGTGCCTCAGCCTCCTGAGTAACTGGGATTATAGGCCTGCACCAGCACACCTGGCTAGTTTTTGTATTTTTAGTAGAAGACGGAGTTTCGCCATGTTGGCCAGGCTGGTCTTGAACTTTAACCTCAAGTAATCTGCCTGCCTCAGCCTCCCAGAGTGCTCAGGCTGGTCTCGAACTCCTGAGCTCAAGTGACTCACCTGCCTCAGTCTCCCAAAGTGCTGGGATAGCAGGCATGAGCCACTGTGCCTGGCCTACTTCTATTTTCTTAGGCATTTATATCATGAATAACTATTGACTGCTCTCGAATATTTTTATCTTTTATGTTTTAAATTATTGTTCTCTTTTAATTTTTAAAATTTATCTAAAACATGAATAGACATTCTGATGTTGAAGCATTTCTCTCCCTGTGATAAACTTTATTCGATTATGATGTATTTAACTTTATATGGTACTTAATTCAATTTTATGTAGGATTTTTTGTTGTTGTAGTGAGTTAGATTTGTTTATAATCTTTATTTTGTCTTATTCTCCTGTTCCAATATTAGTATCAAGGCTATATTAAGCTTAAAAAATAAACTAGGAGCCAGGTACAGTGACACATGTCTGTAGTCCCAGAATTCAGGCAGCTGAGGCAGGAGGCTTGATTGGACCTAGGAGTTCAAGGTTGTAGTGTGCCATGATTGTGCTGTTGAATAACCACTACGCTCCAGCCTGGGCAACATAGCAAGACCCTGTCTCTGAAAACATAAAAATAAGTTGGATCTCATTTCTTCTTTCCATTGTTTCTGAAGCAGTTCAGATGAAATTGGGATTATTTATGTATTTTTAGCGAAATTGGCCAGTAAAACCAATTTGAGTTGAGTGTATGTAGTTCATGAGGAGTTGAGCAGGGAAGATTCGATTACTGAGTTTTTGTGAATTGGTTTTCAGACTTTCAAAAATCACCCATAGAATATTATCTGTGTTTTTTACATTTATTAATATAGGTATTTATAGTATCCACTTTGTTTTTGTTTTTTTAATTTTGCATTCTTGGTGTGTGTCCTGTGATGTAAGAGTTTGTTTGGGACACAAAAATTTGAGCAAAGCTCATTTGGCAGTTCTGATACAAAGAGGAGCTGGGGGATAGGATCTTTTGAAAGTGAAGAAGAAAATGACTATTTTGTTTGCTATCATCTGTTCTGTCTCTAGACCGTCTGTTCCTGTTCAGTTCCAATATTTTTTGCCAACTTACCCCCCTTCTGCATACCCACTGGCGGCACATACCTACACCCCAATCACCAGTTCCGTGTCCACTATTCGACAGTATCCAGGTACGAATCCTGCTTTTTAGATGACTTTTCACAGTTTCATTTTTGCCAGCAATAACCTAGAAATTGATTAGGGGTTATTTCTAGTATGAGATTAATTATTTCAGCTTCTGTTTTCAGATTCAGATAAAATGTGAAGCTTGAAGGTCTTAAATAATCGTCTTTGTGATCTATAAAAGGTTGTTACTCGTTAGTGATATTTGCATAGTATTATGCCACCCTGAGGATAATCATGTTAGCAATTTTTGTTTCTCCTTAAAATGACAGTAGTTACAATGAATAGAGCTGCACTTTTATAGGGTTTCCATTGTTTTATGCAAATATTGGTTGTATTTTTAAAAAATGTATAAAGGTTTGTTTATAATAACGTTTACTTTAGGTTCCATGGTACTTGTGCAGGTTTGTTATATAGATAAACTACATGTCACAGGGATTTGGTGTACCAGTTATATGTTTTTTAGTTCAGTTATGCTCTCCTCTCACCATGACATGTAAATAGTGTTCTTTTTGCTAATCCAGGAAAAACAATCCTTAAATGTTAGAGTCTGTGTAATCTTTTCCTGTGGGACCCTCAGGTCACTCTGGGCGCCAGAAAGCCTTATTTCCAGCCAGGTGCATTGGCTCATGCCTGTAATCCCAGCACTTTGGGAGGCCAAGGCAGGCAGATCACTTGAGGTCAGGAGTTCAAGACTAGCCTGGCCAACACGGAGAAACCCCATCTCTACTAAAAATACAAAATTAGCCAGGCGTGGTGGCACATGCCTGTAATCCCAGCTACTCGGGAGGCTAAAGCAGGAAAGTCGCTTGAACTTGGGAGGCAGAGGCTACAGTGAGCCACAGTTGTGCCACTGCACTCCAGTCTGGGTGACAGAGTGAGACTTTCTCCAAAAAAAGAAAGCCTTATTGCCTGGGGCCGGGCACTGTATCTGATTGATACCTGTAATCTCAGCACTTTGGGTGGCCATGGTAGGCAGATCACTTGAGCCCAGAAGTTTGAGACCAGCCTGGTCAATATAGGGAGACCCCATCTCTACAAAAAATTAAAAAATTCGGCGGGCATGGTGGTGCATGCCTCTAGTCCCAACTACTGAGGAGGCTGAGGTGGGAGGATTGCCCGAGCCTAGGAGGTTGAAGCTGCAGTGAGCCATGATGGCGCCACTGCACTCCAGGCCAGGTAACAAAGTGAGAGCCTGTTTCAGAAAACAGAGAGAAAAAGACAAAAGAAAGTGTTATTGTTGCCTGGATTGTGGACCTTGCCCTCCTGCCACACGGTGCTGTATGGCCGCCAGCGGCATGTGTGGCCACAGAGCACTTGAAGTAGGTTAGTACATGAAAAACTCGATTGTTAATTTTGTTTAATTTTGAGAAATTTCAAGTATGTTTGGAACAACTTAGCAATGCAAAACTACTTTTTCCGTTGTAGGCTTTATGAAATCAAAATACAGATTAAGCACATCTGATAAAAATTCATGAGATGTACTCGAAGAGCAAAATATACCCTAGATTTTGAAGACATAGTATAGAAAAGAGAATGTGAAATATCTTGTTAAGAATTTTTAGGCCAGGCGCAGTGGCTCACGCCTGTAATCCTAGCACTTTGGGAGGCTGAGGAGGAAGGATCGCTTGAGACCAGGAGTTTGAGATCAAGCTAGATGAGACCTAGCCTCTACCAAAAATACAAAACTTAGCCAGGCATGGTGGTGCGTGCCTGTAGTCCCAGCTGCTTGGGAGGCTGAGGCAGGAGGATTGCTTGACCCCAAGAGGTTGAGGATGCAGTGAGCCATGTTGTTTGCGCCGCTGCACTCAAGTCTAGGCAAGAAAGCGAGACCCTTGTCTCAAAAAAAAAAAAAAAGTTTATTAATAACATATTGAAATGGTAATATTTTGAATATATTGGGTTAAATAAAATATATGATCAAAATTAATTTGGCCTGTTTATTTATTTATTTTTTTTGAGACGGAGTTTCACTCTGTTGCCCAGGCTGGAGTGCAGTGTCGTGATCTCGGCTCACTGCAGCTTCCGCCTCCAAGCTTCAAGCGACTCTCCTGCTTCACTGTCCCCAGTGGATGGTATTACAGGCATGCGCGACCACACCCAGCTAATTTTTGTATTTTTAGTAGGGATGGGGTTTCACCCTGTTGACCAGGCTGGTTTTAAACTCCTTCTCTCAAATGATCGCCCGCCTCGGCCTCCCAAAGTGGTGGGATTACCAGCGTGAGCCACCGCACCTGGCCTGTTTCAAACTTTTTTTTTTTCTTCTTTGAGACAGTCTTTCTCTGTCACTCAGGCTGGGGTGCAGTGGTGCAATAACACCTCACTGCCTCCTCAGATTCCTGAGTTCAAGGGAATCCTCCCATCTCAACCTGACATACCTCGTGCCTGTAATCCCAGCACTTTGGGAGGCCGAGGTGGGCCAAGCTGGAACCACAGGCCTGTGTTATGATGCCAAGCTAATTCTTTAATTTTTCATAGAAATGGGGTCTTGCTATGTTGCACAGGCTGGTCTCCAACTCCTGGGTTCAAACATTCCTCATATCTTAGTCTCCCAAAATGTTGGGATCAAAGGCAGAAATCACCACATCGGGCTCTTCTTACTTTTTTTTTGTAGCCACTGGAAAATTTAAAGTTGCGTGAGTGACCCAATATGCCATTGAACAGTGCTGGTCTAAAATTTCAAACATTGTAAGATACTTGTTTATTTAGGGAAAAGGTAGCTTATAAGTGTAAGATATTTAAATGGCTTTGAAAACAAGTTCCTACGTCTCTGGATTGTTTTGATGACTAAGGAAAAAGTCCTCTGTGTTTATTTTCTTTCCACAGATAGTGAGAAATTCCTCCTTTTTTTGTTGCTTTCTGTGAATGCTCTTGTTTTCTTTTTTTTTTTTTTTTTTTTTTTTTTTAAATATACACAGTAGATGGGGTGTGTGCCTTGTAGGACACAGGACACTTGCTCGTTCTCTCTTTCTGGTGGATACATGCCATTTGAAATTCATAACTGCCATATTTCAAAACTGCCTGTGCTAGTGGCCCTATCAAGTAAAGCAGAGGTTCTTGACCTGGGACCCCTGGGTGTTTTTCTGACGTTTTATATTAATTATTTAACACAGTTGCCTGACTAATATTTGCAATTGAATAGCTGATTGCCTTTTTTTTTTTTTTTTTTTTTTTTTTTTTTGAGACGGAGTCTCGCTCTGCCGCCCAGGCTGGAGTGCAGTGGCCGGATCTCAGCTCACTGCAAGCTCCGCCTCCCGGGTTCACGCCATTCTCCTGCCTCAGCCTCCCGAGTAGTTGGGACTACAGGTGCCTGCCACCGCGCCCGGCTAGTTTTTTGTATTTTTTAGTAGAGACGGGGTTTCACCGTGTTAGCCAGGATGGTCTCGATCTCCTGGCCTCGTGATCCGCCCGTCTCGGCCTCCCAAAGTGCTGGGATTGCAGGCTTGAGCCACCGCGCCCGGCCGCTGATTGCCTTTTTTCTGGTTTTTATCATGTTTCTAGTAATCTGTAGAAAGACAACATCATATTGGTAGGAAGTGAAAGGAAATAACAATCCCAAGTATATGAAGGTTCAAGTAACAGTGTTTATTTTTTTTTTTCAAACCGTGAATTTAGATCTTATACAATGGAAGAAATCCGTGTTTATTTTAGTGTTTTTCTCTTTATGTGGAGTGTGTGGAATGAAGCTAACCTTCTTGTAGTTACCTTTTACATCATTTTTAGTTTCAGCTCAGGCTCCAAACTCTGCCATCACAGCTCAGACTGGCGTGGGGGTAGCGTCTACCGTCCACCTAAACCCCATGCAGTTGATGACAGTGGATGCATCACATGCTCGACATATTCAAGGGATCCAGCCAGCCCCCATCAGTACCCAGGGCATCCAGCCGGCCCCCATCGGGACCCCAGGGATACAGCCCGCACCACTTGGCACACAGGGAATTCACTCAGCAACCCCAATCAACACACAAGGGCTTCAGCCTGCACCAATTGGTACTCAGCAGCCTCAGCCTGAAGGAAAGACTTCAGGTAATTTTAAATTTTTGCATAGAAGGTGGTTTGGAGAAAAGAAATACATTTGGGTTTAAATCCTTTCTCTGCCACTGGCTTTGTCGTCTTATAATTTCTCTAGGCCTTCGTTTCTTTGTATTAATAATGAGTTGCTTAGAACTTATAATTTCAGGGTCATTGTAAACGTTAGAAATAATATACCTCACTCCTGTAATCCCAGCACTTTGGGAGGCCGAGGTGGGTGAATCATGAGGTCGGAGATCGAGACCATCCTGGCTAACATGGTGAAACCCCGTCGCTACTAAAAATACAAAAAAATTAGCCAGGTGTGGTGGCGGGCACCTGTAGTCCCAGCTACTCGGGAGGCTGAGGCAGGAGAATGGCGTGAACCCGGGAGGCGGAGTGAGCTGAGATCGCACTGCTGCACTCCAGCCTGGGCAACAGTGAAACTCTGTCTCCAAAAAAAAAAAAAAAGAAATAATAAACATCAGCAGCCCTAGTATTCATTTGCACATAATGAGAAGTGTTATCTTTTTTAAAAGCTCCTAGTTGTGGGGAAAAATTCACCTTATAAGTAGTGTTCTCATTGAAGATTTTCTTCAGAGTTGTACATAAAGCTGTAAAATCTTATGCTGATGTTAGCTAATATTATGAATGCTTAAAAAGAAATACTAGTGGAATAGCATTTTGAAAAGTGGAATAAGTCACTGTAATTAGATCTTTTTGAGACAGAAACAGAGTCTCACTCTGTCACCCAGGCTAGAGTGCAGTGGTGTGTGATCTTGGCTCAGCATAGCCTCAATCTCCTGGACTCAAGTGATCCTCCCACCTCAGCCGCCTGAGTAACTAGGACTATAGGTGCCACCACGCCCGGCTAATTTTTGTATTTTTAATAGAGACAGAGTTTTGCCATGTTGCCCAGGCTGGTCTCAAATTCCTGGGCTCAAGCAGTCTACTCACCTTGGCCTCCCAAAGTGCTGGGATTACAAGCATGAGTCATTACACCAGCCGGGTTGTTATTTTTTTTCCGGCTGAATTTAAGATTCCATGTACTTGAATTATTATTAATTAGCCATTTCTCTGATGTAGTTTAAAAAAGCAAAATGGCTGTTTCTCAGCCAAGGTGCTGATTTATTTTTTTTAATCAGCCGGGTCTCACTCACTCTGTATCCCAGCTGGAGTACAATGGTACAATCGTGGCTCACTGTAGCCTTGACCTTCTGGGCTCAAGCAGTCCTTACGCCTCAGACGCCCATGTAGCAAGAACTACAAGTGCATGCCACCACACCCGGCTAATTATTTTTGATTTTTTGTAGAAACGGGATTTTGCTCATTTCCCAGGCTGGTCTCAAACTCCAGAGTTCAAGCTATCCTTCAGCCTTGTCCTCCCAAAGTGCTTGCGGTTACAGGCATGAGCCACTGCGCCTGGCTGGAGCTATGCGTTTAATTGTTCTGTAGACAGTTCAACTATTTAAGCAAAGTCTCTCCGATTTTTTATTACTAAACTAACTGTCTGTGAGAGAGATGCAGTTTACCCATAGTGACCCACCTGGTAGGATGGTGTACTACATCTTTAAGGCACCGCCAGAAATTTTTTTTTTTTTTTTTTTTTTTTTTTTTTTTTTTTTTTTTTTTTTTTTTTTTTTTTAAGGGCACCTGCCAGAAAATGCATGGTATTAAGTTGACTCCTATGAAATTGCCATTTTTATAGGTCAAAAACTGTCAGACACTGATATTTTCTGATTATGATCTCATGCTCACCAGTATTTCGATGCTCACTTTAAGTGTATAGTTAAAATATCTGTTAGTTGAATGTGTTTGTAAGGATAGACTGGGGAGGGCACCATTACTGAGGGCTGAGAGAGGTTGGTATTTTAGAAAAACTGAGTGAGTGCGTTTGTTGAAGTGTACATGGGAGCGTGCTGTCAGGCTGGTAGATGGTGTTTTCTGTTTGTGGCTCTTGTATTAAGCCTTTCCCGCCTGTCAGGTTTCTTATCTCTGAAATGGGAATTACAGTGATGGTAAGAATTCTATCAGTAAAAATGTGAAGTCACTAGTAGAGTGAGAGACTATACTAGATACCATACACTTTGTTCACCTTATCTCATTTATTAGTAACTGTGATTATAGAGCAAAGAAAAAATAATGGTATGGGTCAGGCGCAGTGGCTCATGCCTGTAATTCGGGCACTTTGGGAGGCCAAGGCGGGCGGATCACTTAAGGTCAAGAATTCGAGACTAGCCTGGCCAACATGGTGAAACCCCATCTCTACTAAAAATACAAAAATTATCCAGATGTGGCAGTGTGCGCCTGTAATTCCAGCTACTCTGGTGGTTAAGGCAGGAGAATCACTTGAACCTGGAAGGCAGAGGTTGCTGTGAGCTGAGATTGCACCACTGCACTCCAGCCTGGGCAACAGAGCAAGACTCTCTCTCAAAAAAAAGGAAAAAGAAAAAATAATGGTGTGGATCACGCACCAGTAGACTTAGTAACTGCTCCCGTTTAGCTGTCTGCTCTTTGTCAGACGGACATTGTGCTCCTGTCCCTTATCAGTTGGAAACTGGACAGTTAGAACATGGATCCCTAATTCTAGTGGTCTCGTCGTTTGTATTTGTGTCTTCTGCGGCATTTTGTTTCTGTTGTTTCCCTCTCTTCAATGTTCTTTCCTGTTGCTTCTCTCCTCTAGCAGTGGTGTTGGCAGATGGAGCCACAATTGTGGCCAACCCTATTAGCAATCCATTCAGTGCTGCTCCAGCAGCAACAACCGTGGTGCAGACCCACAGCCAGAGTGCTAGCACCAACGCTCCTGCCCAGGGCTCATCGCCACGGCCAAGCATACTCCGCAAGAAACCTGCCACAGATGGGTGAGTAGACCTGGTGGTGCCAAATGACACCTCTGGTTCTGGATATAACTGGTATACAGAATAGGCAGTCTTATCTAATGCTGGTATCAAACTCATCTCTCATTTTCTGTGGCATGTTAAAATTTCCTCCAAAGCAGCTTGACCACAGGATTATTCAATGGAGCCTTACCCAGCTGAGACTGTGAGATCTTAACAAATCCTGGAGTCAGTGAGGTGTTAGTGTGTAAGCATCTGTTGCATACTGCTTTAATTCTCTCTAGTTCTGGAACTTCAATCATAGAACTTTTAAAGTAGTTTATAATTAACTCTTGGGCTTGTGTAGGTAGTTACATTAACTCATACTATATACTTCATTCAGCATGAATCGTTGCTGTTGAAACAGGAGAAGTTCCCTTGTCCCCCTCTCAGGGCGTGCAATGGGGGAGTGACTTGCTTCCTCATTGCCCTGCTGCTCCAGCCTCTAGGGGAGCGTACAGACGGGCAGACTGTGGGGCTCCAACCCTGCAGCGGCGTCTAGAGGTGAATGTTTATAGCCGAAACCCTGTGGGCATGTGTTACAGAGTGCTCTTTTCCTCTAGCCATCCGTGGATGACTTGCATTAACCAGCCCAATTAGACCCCTGCCTTATGGTGAGGTCAGAGGGCTTTCTGTTTCCCAGGGTTCTTGCCTTGGTGTACTGGAAGAATGGGGTCACGCGTGGGCGTGGAGAAGGAGTATAGGGTTTTACTGAGTAGAAGTAGCTCTCAGCAGATGGGGGAGCCAGAAGGGACATGGAACGGCCCCGGCTCTCTGACTGCCCTGGCCAAACTGCGTCGTTCTGCTGGTCGGTGGCCTGCTGGCGTGCCAGCGTCTGTCACGTGCTCTCCCACCGGCATGCTCTCCTCGCCGTCCTGTTGCCGTCCAGCTGCTTGTGTCTTCCTTCGCCAGGGTGTTCCTCTTGATGTCCAGCCACTTGTGTGCCTGCCTGCTAGGGTCTCGGAGGTTTTTATAGGCACAGGATCAGGGTGTTGCAGGCCATGGTGGTCTGGGGGAAATGCAGCATTTGGGCAGGAAAACAAAAATGCCTGTCATCACCTAGATCCGTGGGCACAGCCGGGGGTAGAGTCCTCGCCAGGGACCTGCCCTTTCCAGCACTTCCCTGCTCCCCTTCTAAATCACTGTGGGCAGACAATTTCTGAAGTGTAGTAAGGGTCATATTTAGTAGCAGATAGTGTTTTGTGTTGCCATGTAAGCTTCTCAGTTGGTGGATCATAGGCAGGAAGGTATGTGCTGTGCTGTTCAACTTAAACATTCTGGAGGTGGGAGATGAGCAGATACGTTTCAGAGAGCAGAGTTTCTGTGGCTCACCTGAGCTAATAGCATCAACATCAACAGATTAAAGCAAGTGCAAACTTAAATTGCTGGGACTAGGGTCCCTGCAGGGTTTTTATTTCCACAGAGCTGTGCATAGACCAGAGTCCCTATCTTTGCTGCTTGTGAATACTTTGTACTTTTTTAAAGGATAAGTCAGTCCGTGACAAAGTTACCTTATTAAGTAGAAGCACAAGGCAAAGCTTGTGGTTAAGATGACAGATTGATTACACAGGTCTGAAATCTCTCCCTCTCATAACCCTATATAACGTTTTTCCAAAAAAGTTGTAAACACACAAGGAAGGGGAGAACAGGAGAGGACACAGTAGCAACTGAAGCTGGGAAGCAGACCGTCAGGTGATGGCATCCTGGCTCTGAGAAAGCTAAATGTGAAGCTTGCATAGGGGAAAGTTGAGAACCATTCTCTTTTAAAATTGGAAAATCTTCAAAAGGACCAACAACAGGAAGATCCTGGGGGCGAAGGAAGGGGCTCTCTCTTTTAAGGAGGATAAGTTAAAACCTTTGAGTTTGAAAAGTGTTAAAGTTAGAGCCCAGAATCCCATTTTCTATGTATGCCATGTGGTGTACTGCCCCTTCCCAGCTTCAGCAGGAGCCTGAAAGTTCAAACTCTGCAGATGGTCCGCTGGGATCACCCAGCGCTATGGAGGTCATGGGTATTTTACCAGAAAGAAATTGTGACTCACCATGAGTGTATGGAATGCTGAACACTTCCCAGTCCACTCCCTGCTTTCAGCTGATAGAACTGTGGCAGGTGAACTTGATTCTTGATAGAAAATGAGAAGAGGACTCTACTTTCCTTCTGGGGAGTCGTTCCGGCCCAAGGGGAAGCTCTAAAGATACTGACACGAGGGCTTCCCTAAGGACAGGGTTAGATGACCCTGCAGTGAACCTCATAGTAGATATGCCCTTCCAAAGCTCAGAGCCCCCAGCCAGCATTTCAGTCCCTCTTCCCCACTCCCCTACTCTTAATCATGAACATACAACCAAAGATAGACACATATTTGAGGGGACCTCTAATGGTGGACGACAGAAACGACAATAAATACATGCCCAAAGCACCTTGGAAGATGTAGAGGCTTGGCAGGGAGAATAAAACACAAAACAAATGAACAAGGATAAGCAAACACTATCCGTGATGCCTTCAGAAAGACAAAACAAAAGGTTACATCCATGAAACAGTAACACAGTGCTATGCAAAAAGAACATTCAGAGGAGAAAAGAACCAGTCCTGAAATAAGATAGCAGAAATTGAAAGATCAGTAGAAGAGTTGGAAGATAAAATTGAAGAAATGTCAAACGTAGAACAAAAAGACAAGAAAATTGGAGAAAAAGGAGAAAATTTAAAACAACAATAAAAAGAACCAGTTCAGGAAATCCAGCCTCCAGGTAATGGGTTTCAGCAAGAGAGATCAGAGAAAAGGAGCAGGGATCGTTACAACGTGAGGAGTTATAAAGTAATAGAAAATTACCAAAATGGAAAGAAATGAGTTTCCTGGTTACAGAAATGCCCTGCACAGTATTCGGTGGATGCAATAAACTCAGGCCAGTATTTTGAAATTTTGCCGCACTGGAAGACAAAAAGATGTGCCTGCATCTCCCGTACTTCCTCCCAAAGACGCTTGTTCTGTGCCCCTAATTCACAGCCTGTCATCACGCGACACTCCAGCCTTCACCCCCGTGCCCTTCTCTCTTCTTTCTCCACGCCTTCTTGCCTTAAACCTGGCTCTTCCTCAGGAACTCAGCTTGCCCTGCAGCTGTCTGAAGTGGTCCCTGCCTCTCTTCCACATCCCTGCTGTCACTCAGCCTAGAGGTAGGCTAGGTGACCTTGTCATGCCTCACTGCCATTTTCAGACCACGTCTCCTCAAAAGCACTTGATCTGCATTTAGATTTCATAAAACCTACAATTGAAAAAGTAGTTTCACATAACCAAGTTACTCCAGACAATAAAAAGTTTCTCAATAACTGGATCAAGTATCCATTATAAAATTCAAATTAATTAAAGTGAAATGACATTAAAAATTTTGTTCCTGAGTTGCCCTTGGCACATTTCAGGTGCTCAGTAGTACCATACAGCTTTCTTGTTGGGCAGGGCAGAGCTACAGGCTGAGAGAGTCAAGTTAGATTGTGCAGGTGTATCTGTATGCCCTTTGGAAGGACATGATGGCTGGCACTTTTTAGTGATAGTGGAACCCTGTCTTCACCTTTAATGATCGGAAATGGTTTGCCAGCTCCCTGGCCCCTCAGGCGCTTGAATGCTTCTCCTGCCTCCACCACCGCCACCCCCCAGTGTGAGCACTTAGCACATAAGCTCAGTGAGCCTTCCTGACCCTGTCTGTGTACTCCCATGCCCCTCGCCCGTCTTCTTTCTTCCCACCTCCCTCCCAACGGAACTCCAGCTCCAGAGGGACCCCAGCAGCCTCCTCCAGTCCATTGATCCACCTTTTCATGTGCCTCCCTGCCTCTCGTGGCATCTTTCTCTGCTCTTCCTGATTCAGAGTCTGTGGTCACTGGCAGTCATTGCCTTACCCCCACCTCACTTCACTTTGTCAAAACCAGACTTAAGTCCAATTTTCTGCTTCGTTTATGTGGCATGTACAGCAGATTATGGCAGGGAAAGCCACCTTGCCAACTAACTGGCCTTGCTCAGCCTCACAGACGCACTACGGTCTTAAAGCAGCCCATCAAAGTACACTCGCCTGCACCACTCCAGACAACTGTTTTATGTTTCCTTCTTTCACAACTCCCAGGCTTCTTCCGTCTTCACTGTTAGTCGACAAACTTGCTCCTTTTTTGAGAAAAAGAAAAATCAAAAGACAACTTTGGAAGGCCGAGGCAGGCGGATCATCTGAGGTCAGGAGATCGAGACTAGCCTGGCCAACATGGTGAAACTCCGTCTCTACTAAAAATACAAAAAATAGCTAGGGCATGCTGGCGGGCGCCTGTAGTCCCTGTTACTCGGGAGGCTGAGGCAGGAGAATCACTTGAACCCAGGAGGCAGAGATTGCAGTGAGCTGAGATCGTGCCACCACACTGCAGCCTGGACAACAGAACAAGACTCTGTCTCAAAAAAAAAAAAATTTTTTTTTGAACATGAATATATGCCTGTCACCCAACTTTAGTTCTCAGCTTATCAGCTCTTGGCCAATTTTGCTTCACCTATATGCTTACCTACCCGCTCCTATCATATTATTTTGAAGCAAATCCTAGATACCATGTCATTTCATTTGTATGTCTTTCAGCATGTTGCTATGGAGAGATACATAACATTAAAAAACCAATAACCCCTTAATATCAAATAGCCAGTCATTGTTCAGGTTTCCAGTGGTCTGAAATGTCACACAATTTGTTATATTTTATATTATTTATTTGAATGAGTATTCTGATAAGATGCATACATTGTGATTAGTTAATATGACTTTTAAAACCATTTTATTATTGAGGTTTCCTCTTTTTTTTTTTTTTTCCTGCAGTTTATTTGTTGAAGAAACTTGGTCTTCTGGGCCGTACCCTCTCTGGATTTTGTTGATGGTATCCCCAATATATTCATTTCCTAGGGCTGTTGTAACAAACTACCACAAATCTTCTGGCTTAAGGCAACAGACATGCATATCTTATAGTTCCAGTAGCTAGAAATCTGAAATGAAGGTGTCATCAGGGTTGGTTCCCCTGGGAGGTTCTCAGGGAGAATCTACTCGTGCTGGCTGCCAGTGGCTGCTGTTGATCTTTGTGTTCTTGGCTTGCAGGCACAGCACCCCAATCTCTGCCTCCGTCATCACATGGCCTTGCCCTCGTACCTGTGTCTCAAATCTCCCTTCCCTTTCTGTTACTAGGATACTTGTCACTGGATCTTAAACTAAACTCTACATCCAGAACTCTACATCCAAATGTAATTAAGGATCTCAAGATAAGAGATTACATTAATTACATTTGCAAAGGCCCTTTTTTTAAGTAAGGTCACATTCACAGTTACTAAAGATTGGGACTTACATATATCTTAAAGAACTCAGTTCAACCTGTTGCACCCATAGTGTAATTTCACTTGTTCTGTCCTCCACATTTTCTGTAAGTTGTTACTTAACTCTGAAGGTTTGATCTGATTTTTCTTTTTTTTATTGCTGCTTGTGGCAAGACTGCTTCGTAGTTTGGTGATTTGGTCTCTTACCAGAAGGCACACAGTGTCTGGCGGTCACCCTTTTTGAGATGTTGGTGGCTCTGAAGATCAGTACCCGGATCCATTAGTGATTAAGTGTTGTAAACTGGTATATTCTTGTCTAGTTATTCTCTCTCAAATCCACTCTCAACTGGTATTTGTTCCCACCACTTTACCAAAACTAAATGTGTCAAGATTGCTCCCGTTTTCATAGTGCTAAACTGATGGTTAATTCTCCATCAGAGCCTTCCGTGGCCTCTCTGCTGTACAACACAATTGATCTCCAGCTCTTCCTGGATCAGGTTTTTTCACCTAGCTTCCAGGTCTTTATAAACACCACAGGCGTAGTAATAACTGTAAACACTTCATATGGCTTTCAGTGTGAATAACATTCAGCAGAAGGGAGATGTGGCATGCTAGCAGCAGCTGAAAGAGTCACAGTGGTTGCTTCTTGGAGGGAGCCTGACAGGAAGTGAGCAGGAATGGGGAACGGGTCTTTATTTTAAAGACTTTTTGTACTATTTGGGTTTTTTGGTAATGTGTCTGTGGTATCTGAGAAAATAAAAATCCATTTTAAAAATACTTAGTCAATGTAGGGCTTTTATTTTGTCCTAGGTATGCCTGGCAAATGCGTATCTTGTATTTCTTATCCTTGAATGCCCTTGGACTGCTATTTTCCGGGTTTGTCTCTTGTCTCTTTCAGAATGGCGGTTCGGAAAACCCTCATTCCTCCTCAGCCTCCTGATGTTGCTAGTCCTCGAGTGGAAAGCTCTATGCGGAGTACATCTGGGTCACCTAGGCCTGCAGGGTGAGCACCTAAGTGTTCTTAGCACTCTTGCTTGTAACCACACGTCGTTGCAGTGGCGGGGAGTCTAATATGCCTGCATGACATAGTCTTGTTAGGTTGTGTTGCCCAGGCTGGAGTGCAGTGGCTATGCTCAGCCGCCATCATAGAAAATCGTAACACGACAGCCTTGAACTCATGGGCTCAAGTAACAAGCCTTCGCTTCCTGAGTAGCTGGGACTATAGGCATGTGTCACCACTCCCAATTTACATGCTCTTTCTAGCTGCATCACCTGAAAGCGTTTTTCAACCTCTCTGATTCCCATTTGCCTCATTTATAAAGTGGGCATTGCGCATTCATATAACATCTACCTCATAGAATTGTTGTGTATTTAAGCAAAATGATACATTTAAAACACTTTGTATGTGCCTTATAGCAAACACCCAGTTGCTATGGCATTCAAAAATGACATCGTGACAGTATTTATTTTTGTTTTTTCTGTTTTTGAGACAGAGTTTTGCTGTGTTGCCCAGGCTGGAGTGCAGTGGCACAATCTTGGCTCACTGCAGCTTCTGCCTCCCACATTCAAGAGATTCTCCTGCCTCAGCCTCGGGCGTAGCTGGGATTACAGGCATGTGCCACCACACCTGGCTTTGTTTTTGTTTTTTTGTTTGTTTGTTTGCTTGTTTTTTAAGTAGAGACAGGATTTCGCCATGTCAGCCGGGCTGGTCTCAAACTCCTGACCTCAAGTGATCCACGTGCGTCAGCCTCCCAAAGTGCTGGGATTATAAGCATGAACCACCATGCCCGGCCTTATGACAGTGTTTGTTCTTTCTCTTCTCATTCCACAAGTAATATTATATTGGAAAAAGTAATTAGAGAATATAAAAATACTTAAAGTATAAAGTGAAAATTATTGTCTCATTCTCTACCCACATTGCCAATCCCACTTCCTAGAATAATGTTGACCAGTAACAGTTTTGGGGTTTTGTTTGTTTGTTTTTTCCTGTAGACTTCCTCTATGGTCAGGAAAATAGTTCTGATAAGTATCTTTCCACATCTTTTTCTGCATACACATGTAGATAGATTGATAGATTCTTTTTGTTTGTTTGTTTGTTTTGAGACAGAGTCTTGCTCTGTCACCAGGCTGGAGTGCAGTGGCGCTCACTGCAACCTCCGCCTCCTGGGTTCAAGTGATTCTCTTGCCTCAGCCTCCGGAGTAGCTGGGACTACAGGCGTGTGCCACCACACCCAGCTAATTTTTGTATTTTTAATAGAGACGGAGTTTCACCATGTTGGCCAGGGTGGTCTCTTATCTCTTGACCTCGTGAACCTTGGCAAACTGTCACACTCTAAGTTGAGGTCTATTTCCATCATTCACCCTTTGCCCTTCAGTGTTGTGGAACATCTCTAAGACTTCATTAAATGTGAAGGTTTTTGCCAGCATAACTGCTGAGACCTCTTCATCCTTTTCCTCAAAACCACGTTGCCTTCACTTCTTCTTGGACTCTGGGTACACACTTTATAGCACCATCTTTCTGTGTGATGGCAGTTTGCTGATTCACTCAACACCACTCACAGTCATATTGACTTCTGAAATGCTAAAACCAGCCTTCCCTAGCAGTAATTCATTTTCCTAATTACCATTTTCTTTCAGTGTGGGAGCTAACTTCAACACTTCAGCCTTGAATAATTATAATTTTTTTTGGTTATTACTATTGTCAGTCCAAAATAGAAATAAACACTCTATTTCTGCCTTAAGTGGCTTTCCTGATGCAGTTTAGACTGAAAGATGATATAAAGCTACTTTACCTTCCTTTTTATATTCACTACATTTTTCAGTATGGTCCATACAGCTTTTTACAAGTGTAGGTCTTCTCCTTTTTTCTCTTTGCTGGTGCATTTTGAAATCTTCAAATCACATATAATTTCACTTCTGGCCTCATCCCTTTTTGGTCTTTTGCTGCATTTTCATCTTGGTTGACCCATTCTCACATTCAGTCTTCCGTTTTCTTAAAATTTCACATTGGTTTATCACTGGGATGCCAGAGCAACACAATGACATGCTTTGTTTGCTTGATGAACTGTTTATGGTCAGTGATTGGTCATTACCAGACTTAAGAGGTGATGTGATTGGTTACTGATCATCATGGGCCTCTGTTAGTTCCGTGGTGATTTGGGGACTGTAGAGCTCGCCACATAACAATGGGGATACATTCTGAGAGACACATCAGTAGGCAATTTCATTGTTGTGTGAACATCATGAGTGTCACTATACGAACCTAGATGGGATGGCCTACTGCATACCTAGACTGTATGGTCCAACCTGTTGCTCCTAGGCTAAAAACCTGTACAGGACTTGACTGAATACTGTAGGCAGTAGTAACACAGTGGTACATATTTGTGTATCTAAACATAGAAATTATAATCTTTATTTATTTATTTATCTTTGAGACAGAGTTTCAGTCTTGCTGCCCCAGGCTAAAGTGCAGTAGCTCAATCTCGGCTCAGCACAACCTCTGCCTCTGGGGTTCAACCGATTCTCCTGCCTCAACCTCCAGAGTAGCTGGGATTACAGGCATGCACCACCACGCCTGGCTGATTTTGTGTTTTTAGTAGAAACAGGGTTTCTCCATGTTGGTCAGGCTGATCTTGAACTCCTGACCTCAGGTGATCTGCCCGCCTCAGCCTCCCCTAGTGCCGGGTTTACAGGCGTGAGCCACCGTGCCCGGCCAGAAATTGTAATCTTATGGGACCACTGTCATGTGCGTGGTCCCTTGTTCATTGAAACATCCTTATGTGCTGCATGACTATTCTGATATTTACACGTGTGAGCTTCGTGCTCAGTGAGGACTACCTGTGTATTCGGAATCACAGGACCAGGAAGGAAGACTAGCCTGGAACCGGAGGGGAGAGCTGCACAAAATGGCTTAGAGATGACACTGAGAGCTGGATTATTTAGGGCCTTGTGGGCTGTTCAGAAACCTTTGGATTTTATTCTAAGACAGAGAGCCATTGGAGGATTAAGGCATAGGAGTGACATGATCTGACTTATTTTAAAAGAATCCCTCTGGCTACTGTGCTGAGAATAAACTGGAGCAGAGCAAGGGTGGAAGCAGGAAGACAAGTGAGAGCTGATAAAACCGTTAACTATCTTCACGGCTTAAACCTACATGGAGGTAGTGTTGTTGTTTGTTCATTTGTTTAATGACATAGGGTCTCACTCTGTCGCCCAGGCTGTAGTGTAGTGGTGCAGTCTCAGCTCGCTGCAACCTTAACCTCTCAGGCTCAAGCAATCCTCCTGCCTCAGCCTCCTGAGTAGCTTAAGAGCCACCATACCAAAGCTCATTTTCTGTATTTTTTTTTTGTCGAGACCGGGTTTTGCCATGTTGCCCAGGCTGGTCTGGAACTCTTGGGCTCAAGCAGTATTCCCACCTCAGCCTCACAACGTGCTGGTATTACAGGCATGAGCACCCCACCCTGCCCATATGTCTTAACAAGTGTTTGGATTCTGGATACGATTTGAAGGTACAGCTGACAACATTTTCTGATGGAATGGAGAGAAAGAGAGGAGTCAAGGATAGCTCCCGTATTTTACCTGAGCATTCTAAAATGAGGAAAGCTCTGAGAAGAGCAGGAAAAAAAATCAGGTTAGTTTCAGTCATTTTACTTTTGCAATATCTATGTGGTTGGACACCCAAGTGGAAGTGTCAAATAGACAGATATAAAATTCTGAAGTAGGCTGGGCGCAGTGGCTCACGCCTGTAATCCCAGCACTTTGGGAGGCCGAGGTGGTTGGATCACCTGAGGTCAGGAGTTTGAGACCAGCCTGACCAACATGGAGAAACCCCATCTCTACTAAAAACACAAAATTAGCCGGGTGTGGTGGCGCATGCCTGTAATCCCAGCTACTCGGGAGGCTGAGGCAGGAGAATCTCTTGAACCTGGGAGGCGGAGGTTGCAGTGAGCCGAGATCGCGCCACTGCAATCCAGCCTGGACAACAAGAGCAAAAGTTCATCTCAACAACAGCAACAAAAAAATTCTGAAGTAATACAGCTCTAGAATTGAAGATAGAAGTCCATGTTGGTGATAGAGATTTAGGAATTGTAAGCAGATGTTCTTTAGAGCTGTGAGAGTGGAAGATGGTATAAATAGAGAACAGAAGTGGTGTAAGGACCAGACCTGAGGACATAGCATCTTTAGAGGTCAGGAAAATGAAAAACCAGAAAAAGTGACTGTTTCTCTATACTATGTGATGTTCTGAGGTGTGTTGGTGCCACAATTAGTCCTCAGCTAAGGAACACTTTGGGTTTTTATTTGCTTATTTTTGTTTTATTTTTAGAGACAGGGTCTTACCCAGTCACCCTGGCTGGAGTGCAGTGGCGTGATCATAGCTCACTGCAGCCTTGAACTCCTGGGCACAAGGATCCTCCCACCTTAGCCTCCTGAGTAGCTGGGACTGCAGGTGGGCATCATTATGCCCAGCTATTTTTATTTTATTTATTTTTTTGAAACAGAGTCTCACTCTGTTGCCCAAGCTGGAGTGCACTGGCACCATCTTGGCTCACGACAGCCTCTGCCTCCCAGGCTCAGGTGATTCTCCTGCCTCAGCCTCCCGAGTAACTGGGATTAAAGGCACCCACCATCAGGCCTGGCTAATTTTTGTATTTTTGGTAGAGACAAGGTTTCACCATGTTGGCCAGGCTGGTCTCAAACTCCTGACCTCAAGTGATCTGCCTGCCTTGGCCTCCCAAAGTGCTGGGATTATAGGGGTGAGCCACCACACCCAGCCTGCTAAGCTGATTTTCATATTATTTTTGTAGAGATGGCGGTCTCACTGTGTAGCCCAGGCTGGTCTTGAACTCCTGGCCTCAACTGATCTTCCCACTTCAGCCTCCCAAAATATTGGGATTACAGGCATGAGCCACTGCACCTGGCCTGTTTTTGTTTTTGTCTTTTTATAAAACAAAGTCTCGTATGGACTTAGTTTTCCAGTGTTGGTCCCTGAGGTGAAGAACCTGC